AATAATAACATAGGAATAGAAAATCTGTTTCACTGACAAAACTTGTTAAAGCTAAATTCTAATCACAAAATCACAACTGATGTTACTATATAAAATGGTCAGTTTATATATGGTAGGATGAGAGGACATTCATGAGTTTGGATTAGATAGCTGAAAATCATTTTAATATATTTTTTTGGTGGCACTGGGGTTTGAACTCAGGGCCTTATGCTTGCTAGGCAGATGCTCTTACCACTTGAGCCAGTCTGCCTAATTTTAAAAATTAAACATTTTATCTGGTGTACATAAATATTTAGTGCAGTGTTGGAGTAATCTGAAAGTTCTGAAACAAGCAAAGGAACTGAAGGTGCAGAAGGTTAAGATACAAGTCTAATATTCATGGCCACTGTTTTGTTCATCTGAACTGTAGACATGATGAGAAGCTGATTATAATGAATAATTCCTGAAGAACAGTTCTGAAAACTTAGGTAGGATTTGGCAGCTTTTTGTCAATAGACATGAATTCTTCCTTTTACATTGTGTTTCAAAGGACTGTAAATTAAGACTTCTAACAAAGGGAACGTGTTCTTAAGTTCTGTCAGTTTTGCTTTCTGAAGACAGAGTATATTATAGAAATTCCAAATTCTTTATTTTTTTTTTTTTTTTGGTGGTACTAGGGTTTGAACTCAGGGCCTCACGCTTGCTAGGCAGGTGCTCTACCACTTGAGCCATACCTCCAGTCCAGAAATTCTAAATTCTTCGAGAGTCAAAATTATCCTAGACTTTTTGGTTTTCCCCTAGTACAGTTCTGAGTTTTCAGTAACAATTCGATACTTATTGAATATGGCTGGATTATTTGTACCAAAGTCTGCTGGTGTAAGAAGTTCGAATCTCTGAACTTGAGAGAAGAGTTGCCCCAGGTGCAAGGAATGTATCCTAGTTGGTTTAATACCAGTCCTGGTACAGCCATACTCTTACAATAATTGATTCATACATGAGTGACAGCATTCTAGCCAATGAATCAAATGGAGTAACCTGCTATACAATTCCTGGGAAAGATTTCCTCCAGCCTAAGAAAGATCCATGAGATAAAATGATTTATTCTTGCTCTGTAAATTGTGTTGACTGAATGTGGTGCCTGGATTTGCACAGCCATTTTGTGACTCTGACAGGAGGTAGCTAAGAACAATGTAATGTACATGAATATCAGAAAAGTAAGAAGAGAAAAGAACTGACTGATTTTATTACTGAGTGCAGGAATTGCTATTTCTGGAATTATTGTTATGTGAAATGCTATATTTACTTAATGATGTGGCACTTTGAGGGGAATTTTCTAGTTTTCATAGGTTATCCAAACTTAGCAAATAAAAATATAGGATGTACAGTTAACTTTGAATTTCAGATAGATATTAATTTTTTAGCATGTGGATGTCCAATGTGGTATTTGTCTCATGTAGTATTGGGAACATGCTATGCCAGAAATTATTGGTTGTTTATTTGAAATTTTAAATCAAACTAGACATCTTGTATTTTTTGGTAGCCCTAAGCTTGCAATAGAGTGACGTCTGTCTGACTCAGTAATGAAAGGGTTTCTTATGTCCTGTTGGTCACACTCTTCCAGAAGTGAAAGGTGAAAGTGTATTTAGTGATTATAGACTGAGTATGTGTATTTGAAATCCAGTTTCCTATACCCAAGAACTAATAAACAATGCCTAGAATCTTTTTCTTTTTGGAACCTGCATGAATCCCCACCCAGATTTGTAATTCTGTTGTAAATGCAGATTAACAGTGAAAAGAGTAAAACAGATCTTAGTTAGAAACTAAGATCTTACACACATCTTTACTTAGTGTGTGTGAACCTGGAGCAATCAGCTGATTCTCAGTATCTGACTATATGGTTCTGAGGAATTAATAAGTTTCACTGTGAGAAGCAGCCATTCACTAGGCATATAGAACTTCAGTCATTTCTTTCCTGAAATGATTGTGAAAAACTGTCTTAGGTCTACTTATAAAGGTCACATGCTAAGAAGCCACAGAAGCTCATGCGTGTACCCAAACACATGTGCAGTTCCTTCCCTTTCCACGTCTTGAGCAGAACTGGAAGAAGATATGCATGAATGAGGTGGTGACTTGTTGAGTGAGGAACTAGTATTACCTGTTCTATAGCTGACTTTACTCCTAATTTTGTGACTGCTACTGTAGAGATTGCTTGTAAATGTTTATCTTATTATTATGTATATTATCACCATTAAATAAACAGAATAGAACAGGGATACTTATTCTTAGTGTCTTTAACACAAAGATGTACTTTTTTTTGAGATACTGGGGTTCCAGCTCAGAGCTCTGTGTTCTCTAGGCAAGGGTGGCACTGAGCTACACCCTCAGCCCTCAAATGATTCTTAGTGAAGCACACATTGCCCAAGAATGGGTTCCTGCTTTATGGGAAAAGAGAGGACAATTTAACACCCACATTTAAATTATTATGATGTGGACTGGTGGAGTGGCTCAGGCTATAAAAGCACCTGCCTAGCAAGTGTGAGGCCCTGAGATCAAACCCCAGTGCCGCCAAAAAAATAAAATTAAATTCTTACGATGCTCATATTGTGACTTTTGTATCACCCTTCAGTTCACAAAAAAGCAGTTCTCACAGAGAAAAATAGTCCACAGAATGACAGCTGTGATGTCAAGTCATATGATCCTGGAGAAGAGAAGAATTGTGGTGGAGGGGAGGGCATGCCAGCTGGCCTCAAGTAGCTGAGGAGCTGTCTTATGAGAGAAAGGCTTGCTCAGGCTGTGGACTCTGAAGGGCAGAGTCAGGGTAGAGGGATAGAAGTTATGGGGAGGCATGGTCAAGTTGAAACCATCAAAATTGCCCAGTGTGTGTTGCCTCAAATGTGATGAAGTCTCTTCTACTGAAATACTAATTCACAAACTCTGATAAGCCTTTATTAGGAACATTAGAGCAGTAACTACAGATGTCTTTTCTTCTTCACTTGCAAAGTGAGATACTAATCCCAATTTATCAACTCACAGGTGAAGGATTTGATCCAGTTAAACCTGACGAAAACCTTTTGCGAGTTTTCAGACAATCATAAAGCTGTAATTGCAATGGACTTTCAAACTTTGTTGCACATTAGAATTACCTTGGGAGCTTCGAAAAACTTGTATGTGGAGGTCACATCCACAGAGATTCTGAGTTAAGTGCCATGAGGTACGCCAGAGTATTAGGAGTTTGTCAAAGTTTGGCAGGTGATCCTAATCTACAGTAATTTTAAGAGCCGCTGAACTGGCGTACTGGTTAGAGTCACAATTCTAGATTGTAGTTTGGACTCTGATTTGACTGAAGATGTAATGTTAAGCAAGTCCCTTAACTTCTCTTAGTTCCACACTCCTTAGTCACTAAGAAGAGGGGGACAAATACACTTTGAAAGCACTTTCTGCTAAAATTTTATTATTCTAGTGCAGCTGACCCTTAAAGGTTGATGAATTAAGGAAAAAGCACTTAACCATCTTCTAGAAATAGAAAAAAGGTCTCTGTTCTGAGACATGGGAATTTTTGGCACTCTTTTCCTCCATTTTAATGGCAGTCATGGACTCTCCTCCATTAGGGAATTTTTATCTCTTAGAAGACTGTGTGGCAACAACACATTCCAGTGAATAAAACTTCTTAAAACATACACCTAACTTGAGCACAAACTGACAGAGGATAAAAGTGGCTTATTTTTTTTTCACTCTTCTCCACAATTTTAGAACTTTCTTATCAGAGTGAGAGTTCTCTGAGGGAAGACGACATTTTTCTTGGAGTTTTGTGAAGATGGCTATACTTCTCTATGAGCTTATGGGATTTGCTGTCTTACCTATTCCTCAGTGATTTGTTTACCAAGAATGTCCCTAGCCTAACCATAGACATCGGTTCTTGACTTTAGCTCCTCCAACTGAGAGTGTGTGTCTCATTTTCACTCTGGCGCAACTGACTTTGGCAGGTGATGAAGGACATAGAATGACAATATTCTTTTTTCTTGCAAGAAAATTTAAGACTGCCATTATTAGGATTCTTAATGATATTGCTTGCATTTCAGGTAATTCATATTTGTTGGTAATGTTTTATTTGCCACACAAAGGGAACAGAAATAAGTGTAGAAATGTGTACTACTGTGGTATGTGAAACATTAAAATTTTATGTGAAGAATATGATCCAGTGATTTTTATTTTTCAGTGTGAAAATTCTTACTTCTGAAAGGCAAGATACATTTGGAAGGTTGCCTTCCTATTGTTGCTATGATAACTCTTCAATAACTTCCAAAACTCACTTCTATGTACACATTTCAAAATAAAACACCAGTTTAAAGATTAAAACAGCTTCATTGGAGAAATTTTCAAAACTTGGATTACTTGTGAAAGAAATAAAAAAAGCTTCTTGGATTACTTGTGAAAGAGATAAAAAAAGCTTCTTTCTTTTTATTCTGGATTGTAGATTGGACAGAATTGCCCCAATGATTAAGTAGATACTATTAATGGAATATCCAAGTGGGAAAGAACTGTTTCTCTCTCTCTCTCTATCATCTATCTATCTATCTATCTATCTATCTATCTATCTATCTATCTCTCTATTTAAAATAAGGAAGTGTAACAAAATCAATAAGAAGGATCATAAGGGCACCATGTTAATGACAAATCACAGGAGGTGGCTTCATAAAGGTTGTGAAAACTAGTTTCTCATTGGAGGAATTGGACTGGGCCACCCTTTCACCCCCCTTCTCAAACACAAATATTTTCATATAATAAAAGCCTGTTTCTCTATGCTTCTAACCCAGCCTCCATTCCCTCCAACACCACCATTTTAAAGGGGTTTGCTGCGCCGACTTCTCCAAAGTTTCAAGGTCTTATCTCTTCTGGATCTTATCTTACAGAGGTGAGACGTCCATCTGGGGGCTCACTGTGGGTGAAAGGGACAAGAAACACCCACTAGGACCCAACCCCGGCAGCCACCGGCCGAGCATGCGCTGAGAGTTTGTGTAGCTGGCCCTGGCTGCCTCGTCCGGACTTGGCGAGGACTTGGGAGGGACAGCCGCGCTGGGAGGTGGCTTAGCAGAGACTTTCCAGCAACTGCTGCCCAGGACTCTCTCTCCTCTCTCTCCCTTTTTTTCCTTTTTCTTTTTCCCAGGAGGCGGCGACGGCGGCGGCGTGGGGAGAGGAAGAGAAGGAAGCGTCTGCTGCTTGAGCCAATGCAGCCCTTCGGTTCTCCGGGAGGAGCGTCTGTGCCCGGATGAGTCTCCGCCGCGCGTCCCCAACTGTCCCCGGGCGGGAGTAGCGCACGGAGCCCAGCGCCGACGGTGAGTGGCCGCACGTCTCCGGTCTGCCCTGCCCGCTGTCCCACCAGCCCGCTGGCGGCTGCCGTGGGCACTGTGTGCTAAACTACTTAAAGGCTGGCTTCGGGGCTCCCGCCGCGGCGCTTCCCCCCGCGCCCTGCCGGGGGCGCGCGGACGCGGTGGCCAGGCCAGTGGCCGCGAGGGCTTTGTGCTCTGCGGACTGCTGGGAGCGCCGGGTCGCGGTCGTGGCCGCAGCCGGGGCCGGGGGAGGGGGTGTGAATGACTGGCCCGGCGTCTGCACAGCTGCACCGACCCTAATTCCCTGACGCCCCCTCCCCGCCCCAGGCTAGTCCATTATTCTGGGACGGAAAACATCGTTTCTCACGTTCTCCCTAGGAAACCATAGTCGCCGGGCGGAATCCCAGCTCCGCATGGCGACCCTCGGGCTCTCCCCACCCCCCCAAGGTGGGGGACGGGGTAGGGGACTGTGAAGTCGGGAGGGACCCAGAAGTGTCCTGATGAGAAGGGCACTCACGCCTTCGGCCTCGCGGGTGGCGCCTGTGACAACTCGGGCGCAGTGTGGTTTCTAACCTTTAGGACAGTTCGGATCAGACCTGTCCCCGAGGAGGGCTTGGGTCCCAGGACGTTGTAAAGAGAGTCTCATCAGAATACACAGGGCCCCGCCGCAGGTCCCCCGAGACCCAGAGTTTACTGTGCGCATTCATTCATGCGGAGAGTAGCTTTTCTCTACCCAGCAGGTGTTATCCGAAGCCGGTCAGGAACTAACTTTGGGGAGTTTAGTTCCCATTATGACTTTAACAAATGAGATTTGAGGAGGCGGTGTTCTCAGATGTACTAGGCTTTGGGGTCCGCTGGACCCAGCGAAGGGCTGACGGGAGGGGGATGGGAGGGTCGGGGGCTCGGGGTGCTCAGGCTCCTGTTCTCCCCCACCCCCTGCAGATTGCGGCTGCTTTGCCCTTGGGGATAGGATGTGGTGAAAGGATGGGGCTTCTCCCTCTTGAGGCTCACAATGGCCAGAGAAGACTCCGTGAAGTGTTTGCGCTGCTTGCTCTACGCGCTCAACCTGCTCTTTTGGGTAAGTCAAACAGCTCCACTGCCCCAACAGGTGGGGACGGCTGGACCCGGTTTTCTGTGGCCTTCAGATAATGCGTCAAAGGGCATGGCTCGCACTAATTAATGACACCGGGTCACACCCTCTATCTTTCAGAGAATTAAAATCTGACCTTCTTAAAATGCCTTTGATCTAGCTCACGTTCCTTTTGTAATTAGAGAAAGAAGTCTACCCTTGGATACTAGCTAGTGTCAGTAAAATAGAAACGAAGTTAATCTAAGGATATAAATAAATGCACGTGTTTGTACTGGTAGATAAGAAAATCCTGACCTACTACTAAAGGATCCTCTGAAGGAATTTTAGATAACTGTGCGAGCCATACATTTTTTTTCTTTACATCACCCTAGCCTATAAAAATTGGTTGGGGGCAGGCAGGCTTAGTATGGTTTTGTAGGAATTTATACCTAAATATCCTGTCAGAACACTGGGTAGATTTTTCTAGGGTATTCCGTACAGTGTGAAAGGTGGTTTTCATGTAACTTTCTAAGTTGGCCAAGTTTAAGAAATTTTGCATATGCTTTTGGAAAATCCCACAACAATTTAAGGAAATAAAAATATGTAAAATTTAACGAGCTCATGGAAATCTTTATGCCTTATAAATTAGTGAATTTTTATACATACGTTTTCATAAAGTGTTATTAATTACATTATTCTTTATAAAGCTTATGGAATATAAAAAATAAAACTTTGTCACTTCAAGAGGCTGTCATACTTAAGCAGGTTTTTTAAATCCATTTTTTGTGTTCTGTCAATAATTTATACTTAAACCTTCCTGTTAGAAAATTTTTAATGTGCAATTTATTTATTTGGCTGGCTGGCTAGCATTGACCAGCCTTTTCTTCACAAGACTGTATATGATGACATTTTGGTTAAACTCATTATGGATGGCACCGTTTTAAGGTAACAAATTAAATCTTACTTTAGTGAGTAACCTGAATAGTATCTGAAATGACATTTGTTTTTCTTATCAACATGAGAATTAAAGCATTGAGTAGTTAAATTTACCATTTTGGAAATGTCATATCACTGATTGATATCATTGTGTTTTCTAACTCTAAAAAGGTATGTTTTTAAGTGGATTACTAAATTACATGTTTGGTTCTATGGTAGAAAGATTTTGAACTGCTTCTAAAATATTTATTATTACTCTTATTTACTAGTTCTTTTTGCTTGTCTATAATTTTTAATCATAAAATCATTACATTGTATCACAAAAAAGGAGCTTTAAAGATGGCCTATTGAACTTCCTTTCTTTGTGAAGGAGGAAATTAAGAGCAAGTTAACTGACATGTCAGAGGTCAAATATTCCAATGTTGGTGGTGCCAGTAGCAGAATTTGGCTTTCTTGCGCTTAAGACAGTGCCTTTAATCTGTAGCCTTACTCAGTTTTGTAACTTGCCATTACTGAGATATTTTTATTGTTACTCAATATAAAGTAAAGCTTTGGGAAATTTCTTAAAAATTTGTATTATGGGGAGAAAGCAAAAATTATTTTTCAGAAGTATTATTCTTCTGACAAATGAAATTTCCTTAAGCCCTTGCATAGCTCTGTCTCACCAGAGAACCTAAAAAATGTTGTTTCTGCATCATTAGCCTGTACTTCAACTTTCTGTCTGACTGTGAGCATGTGTGTGTTGTGATTTGTGGATTTGTATGGATTGCTTCCCCCTTTCTCCAGCTTTCCTGGTCTCCCAATATCACCTCCACTCCAACAAAGCAATGGAGGTTAATGATGTAGTGTATTCCCTCTGTGTGTTAATTTGATTTATGCAGAGATGGAGTTACAGATGTCTGCATACACCCACTCACATTCATATACATTCATGGTTTTTCATCGTGTTAACTTGTTTTCTCAATTGGGTTAGTCATAGGAATGGGATTGCAATGTCGAAAGATAGTAATGACAACAACAAAACAAAAAAGTAACTAACAACCCACATAGCTAATATACAGCTATTACTATGTTTGCTAGGCACATTTGGTGTCTCAGTTTCTTAGTCTTTACAATAGGTTTTTTTTAGAGCTGTTGTGAGAATTAGATAAAATTCATACACATAAAGCACTTAGAACAGTGGCATATAAGTGCTATTGATGTAGTGGGAGTATGGGAAAGTGTTATTACTACAATATTTATGATGCTTACGGAGATTGACAGGGCTGAATTTGTGGTAGTAATAGTGTAATTACCACTTTTATGATTTGTAATGCTGTTACTGCCAACACTGCTACAATTCCTTTGACCCGGTAACCTTTTTCTGGGAATCTAACCCCTTGTTGCCATCTTGTTGATGTGGTACTTTTTTATTTTTGCTGATCCAAAAAGTTTATTTTGTACCTCTCTGCTACCAGTGAACATCAGCATCATTGTGTGTGTGCATGTATGTATTCATGTATATAATTTCATATTCATTAGGTGTTTCATACTTATCATTTAGGTTTGCCTTATTTTTTGTCAGTACTGGGATTTGAACTCTGGGCTTCACACTTGCAAGGCAGGTGCTCTGTGGCTTGAGCCATGACTCTAGCCCATTTTGCTGTGTTTATTTTGGAGATAGGGTCTTGCTTTTTGGCCAGGCTGCCCTGGACCACAATTCTCCTATTTTAAACTTCTGGCCATTGCTAGGATGACAGGTGTGGGCCCAGCTGCTTTCCATTGAGATAGGGTCTTGCTAACTTTTTTGTCCAGGCTGTCTTGGAACCATGATCCTCCCAATCTCAGCCTCCCATGTAGTTTGGGGTGACAGGCATGAACCACTGTATACACCTATTGATTGAGATGGGGTCTTGCAAACTCTCTGTGTCACCTGACCTTGAACCACGGTCTTCCTGATCTCAGTCTCCCAAGTAGCTAGGATTATAAGCCTAAACTACTGGCACCTGGCCTATTCTTTGTTGATTTCATTGGTGTTATCTGCTTCTATATAACAGTTAACAAAATTTTTTATATTCTTTTTATACAATTTTTGCTATAGAATCGTATATATTCTCTTATAGTCTTCTTTTATAGCACCAATATTTCTTGTTTTGGTTAACATTTCTTTTTCTATATAGGCTTCCAATTAAACCATTTACTGGGATTATTGTTAGAATTGCATGAAGTATTTATGTAAATTTTTGGGAAAATTGGCAATCTCTTTCAAAATGTTTTCAGATTTCATTTTATTACCAAGAAGCAATTTTAAGCCTTGTGCTGGGCATCCTTACCTTACTCTCTCATTTAATTCTCCTAACAGCCCTGTAAAATAGTTTTCTTTCTTAGTCCTTTTTTAGGAAACTGTTACCCAGAGAAGATCAGTAACTTGCTAGGAAGCAGCAGAACAAGAATTCAAAGGCTAGTTTTGTTTTTTATCCAATTGTAGTAAGTGTTATGCTGTTGGGAATTTATTTGGAGTGGAGGATCCAAGTAAACATCCTTAGTAGGAAGGGATTAGCTGTCCACCTGCTCATTCCAAGTCCTCTAGAGCAGAGCTTCTCAGTTCTCCATGTGCATGAGAATCACCTGTGCATCCTGCCACAGTGTGGAGCCAGCTTCAGTGGGTTGCAGTCCAGCCTGAGAGTCAGCTGTGTGTGTGTGTGTGTGTGTGTGTCTGTGTGTCTGTGTGTCTGTGGTGTGTTCTGGTGATCAAACACCAGAGCCTCCTTCATGCTAGGCAAGTGCTGTACCACTGACTTTCATCCTAGCTTTCTGCATCTTTAACAAGCTCCTCTGTGCTGTTGTTTCTCTCTTTTATCCAGGAGCAAGATGTTAGTACTGACTTTTAATTCTCATTGGAATAACACAATAGAACTAACTAATGTGGCATGTGCAGCCCACTTAAACCAGACGTCACACCCTGACTGTGGCAAAATTGCTCTTCCCTCTATTTTACAAGTTTGACAAACCTGCCCTTATTACCCATAGGGGCAAAAGCTGGAGACTTTTACTCTTCACATTTTAAATAAACTTATCCTTACTTTTTTATACTACATTGGCACTCACTCCCCTTCTTCACACCAATGGGATTTTAAGGAAGGGAAGAATAAATTCTTACTTTGGAAAACATGGAGATCTTACTCAATTTTGCTGTCCTGGAAGTTGAAAATCAAATTGAATGTTTTCTTTTTTTAAAGTAAAAGTGTGTATATTGAGTATTTAATTTTGTAAGTGTGAGGCACAGATATGTTAGGAGGAATCAGGCCACACATTCAAGATCACAGATGCTCTGCATTCTCTTCATTGCTGAGACTTGCCATCTGTTGAGTTTCTCTCCCACATTATGAAGAAGCATGACCCTGGTCCAGTTGCATGGGGCAGCAGACAGATACCAAGCTTTCTAGTTTGTCATGGGTGTTGTGCAGTTGTTATGGGAAGGAGCACGCAGCAGGTCATGCAGGCGGCTTAATTGCCTGGGAGCTGTTTTGAGACGGAGATTCACATTTTATCCATGGTAGAGCAGAATGTAGGTAACCTTGGCTGCAAATAGTTTTACTGTTTACATGGCATATTATTTAAAGAAATGAAAACTTTCCTCTATTTTAAAATTGACTGCTGTAGCTTTTTGCTTGTGTTTGCCATTCCTGGATGATAATTTTCTATTATAAATAAGGATAAATATGATTCTTTTTGAAAATTCTTGAAATATAAACACTTAGCATTCATCAAATATTTTTCTTTGTGATTTTCTAAAAGTATAACACCCTGTCTCTAGTGTTTAACTCCTGTTTTCACCATCATGTAAAAGCCATTGGCCTTTACTTATCTTTTTTTTTTTTTTTTTTTTTGGTGGGTGTGGATTTTGAGCTCAGGGCTTTTCATTTGCAAAGCATGTGAGCCACTTGAGCCATTTACTTACCATTTTTAACAGTAGTAGCTGTAGAGAGAAGCTATCTTGGTTAAATATGAAAAGCAAACTTATACAAGAAAGCCTAAAAAGGTGGACAGGAAATCTAGGTCATGCCCAGTGCTCCATTCCTTTCTCTTGGGCC